ATGAATATTTTTCTTTGGGTCTTCTTAACACGTTGAGTTATAGTATCACGGATAGAGAAAAATACTTCTGGCTAAAGAAAGTGTTTCCACAGCAACTTTCCATTGTGTTTCTGTGACAGATCACATTTTGTAACATGCAGCAATGTCTGCATGAACTTACTTGTGTGATTTCTTGGTATTTGCTCCATCAGGTCCCTCTCCACAGTCATAAGCCTGGATGGTGAATGTGTGTTCCTTGTGTGCTTCACAATCCACTGGTTCCTTGGCCCGGATGAGCCCCTCACCCGTAGCTTTGTCCAGGATCACAGCTTCAAAAGGTACCCCTGACCCATGAATCCTGAAGCCACAGATTTCACCTGGTACACACAAAAGCAGAGAAGAAGGGGAGAAAGAAAAGAACTGAGGAGAGCACATCATACCCCTTGGTTTCCTTTTCCATATTTTCTTCCTTTCTAACTTGCACTCTCCATTCTTCCTCATTATCACCCTTCATTTTGAACAATTTTTAGTTCACTAGGAGTTCCTCCTGCTATCCCTTACAGCCATTAATGGTGCAGATTGCCATCTACTGGAGACTACTCCCACGGCAAGGAGTGCTGACCAGCATCACAAAGGATTAGAGGTTACAAGGCTCAAACTACATGTGTTAGTGCTACACAGCCACAGTCCTGAGGGAGCACCTTATCTCTCCTTTGCAGCCCTCAGTGAGGTAAAACAGGCCATATACTGCAAATAGACAGCCAGAGCATGTAGATCCATGATGTCTCATCCACCCACACATGCAGGAGGCGCAGAGTACCGCAGGGAACTGCAGATAGGGTCACTAAATCCTAAAATTCAGCTCAGAGGGACCACTTTTCCTCTCCCAAAGCTGCGAGAGGATGCATGAGGAAGCTCCAGGCATGGCCTAAGCAAGCATTAGGAATATAACCCTTGTAAAACCTCATCTGTTGTAAAAGGCATTTGTGCTTACTGCGAGAGGATGTACCACTGCCAACCAAGTGTGCCCTACCAGCTTTCTCCAGGGCTCACAGACACAGCGCTGTGCATGTGATCTTTGGAAATAGCAGAACTGCGTCAAAAAGTAGCTGACTCCACCCTCAATTTCTCTCCCTGAGGAAACAGCTCACAGCATCCTAAATCAAGCTGTGCCCAAATTGCCTCCAGATTTCACTAGGGACCTCCTTTGGAACAAGGTCTGGAGGTGATCGTTTCCTGGAGAGAGCTAGGATCCAGCATAGGGATGAATGGCACCCTGTCTCTGCCTCTTCATAAGTCTGTCCCTACCTCCCACCCTTTCAGAGCTCTTATCCACCTACCTGCATAGCGCAGTGGAGCATCTTTGTCCAGAGCGAATAGCGGTGGGTTGAGCAGGACTGTGTTGTCATTCTCCATGACGATGCCCTGATACTCGGCTTCAATCCAGGGTTTGTGCTTGTTTGCTGAAGTGGATTTGGGGCAAGGGATGGAGGACAGGAATGTATTAGCCACCAATGGCAGATTCAGTGGAAAACAAGCAGAATATTATCCAGTAGCAAGTAACAACCACCCCTCCCCACCTTCTTCTACGGAAATAAAGAAGTCTAAAATAGGCTGGGAGGAAGAAGTTATCTTTATTTAGTTCTGCTCTTAGGAGACTTATTAGAAACAACGTGTTCCTTCTGGTCTCCTCATTACTATCTTATCAGAAATATGTAGAGAGGCATATGGGTGCCCAGGAAAGCTGGAGCAGTTAAAAAAGAAAGTGAACTCCAGAGGCAAAAGTAGCCTGACCCTGGAGACATATTCCAAATGCTAAATTCTTTAGCTCAATGAAGCCATAATTAAAGGATCTAGGCTACATCTTCCCTTGGGGTGTCCCCAGGGAACAAGTCTTGCATGCAGCCATTAGTACTTGTGTGTGCATCCTCTAGACCAAGGCCCAGGACCTACGCACATATACCCAGGTACACTTCCAGGCAGACATCCTGTGCACATAATAACCTCCTCTGAGAGTGCCTTGCTCCTTCCTTCCCCACTCCATGGTGAGCACCATATTCCCTTGGCCCCTCCTTGCTAATCCTGTTGGCTGGAGCCCAGCCAGGCTTGGCATGGAGGCAGCAGCCAGCAGGAGGCTCTGAAAAATGTCACAGGCCCAGAAATAGCAAATTAATCTTTATCACACAGGCTCCGGGGCAGGGAAAGGGAGAAATAAAGGGGTGGGGGGGAGGGAAGGGAGGGGAGAGAGAAAAAAAAATCATTACAAATTAAAAACCCCTCCCCCATGCCCACTCCCTGCCAAATGGGCCTCAGAGATTATATTACATGGCCTAGTTACAACCCCTATTCCCAGATAATCCCCCACTCTCCCACCCCCTGGAGACCAAGATTTATTACAACCCAGCAATACTTTGAGCATAGCATGGCTTAGAGCTGGTGGAGAGTAGGATACAGAGCCATTCCCCTCAAGGGCACTACTTCTAATATGTGAATCCATTCTCTGCAGCACAGTGTCCTCTGAAATGCCGTATTGGCTTGGCCTGATGTGTTGACTCAAGAGGGGTAGTATCCTGAACAACCAAGCACTTCTGCACTCCGAGGCCAGGGAATGCTGCCAGAGGTGGGTGGTGGGCTAGCAGGCAGGGTGGCAGGTCAGAGTGGGGATGTCCCAGCAGGGCAGAGTGGGCAGACCCAGCCTGGCGTAGCAGTGAAGAGTGTGGGTTGGCACTTCTCCATCACCATATTGAGATTATAAAGCATCGCGTAGGAAACCCAGAGAAACATCCATCCTGCTCAGTATGCAGGTGGAATCCTCCCTGTATGCAAGTGCCCACGTCTCCCCCTACCCCTCCATTGTCCCCTCCAGCTTCCATTCTCTACGGCTCTAGTCCATGCGCCACACCACCGAGGTGGAAATCCATAGCTATAAATGCCAAATGTGCCCTGTTGCTGGGGTAACAAGCTGATGGTAGAGAGATAAATCCTTTGCTGCATCCACCTGCAACTTGGGAATCACCAATCTGATTTCTCAGGAAATGAGTTGCTGGAGAATAGAAAAACATTTTGGGAATATTTTTAGGATACAGACTCCTACCAGCTTCAAGAAAGCTCCTGTAAATCTAAAAAAATTTGCCAAAGGTGGGTAGATGTTTCCAAGTGCAAATTCACAAAGGAGAGAGAGAATCCAGAGCGTGAGGGGCCTTTCCTTGCCACCGGGCCGCGTGGAACCAGAGCAGTACAAATAAATGCCCCTGCCAATGTCAGTGTACACACAGCTCTGCGGTGCATCCGCCCTGTAGCCCTACCTCTTCCAAAGCACGGGAAGCACCCTAAGGTGTCACATTCCCTGATGACCCCTGAGTACCTTAAATGTTTGCAGATTCCCCCACCCTGTCAGATTATTGACACACTGACTCCCTTCAGATGAATCTCTCATGCCTGTCTCTACAGCCACAGATCTAGAAACCTACATCTTTGTACATCACTATACGTGCTCAAAGAACATCTGCATTCAGAATGTTACAGCTGTAGCACTGGGGTGGTTTAGGTTTTCTTTTATCTTTATCACATAAAATATTCTTTTATATAAGCAACCTGCATCCTTAACACATAACTGTAAAATAATTCCTATTGACAGATTGTAGATGGATGAACTGGGATTGGAAGGTGGAGATAGGAGATATGTTTTAGAGATCACGGGGGTCTGTGGAGAAACAACATATTCTCTCTCAGCATGCAAGGGAAGGGAAGGGAACATAAATCCACAAAGCGATAACTAAACAAAAGCAAGACAAGTGCATGGAAAAGGGGAAAATGCGAAGGGAACGCTAGAAGGAGATGAAAGAACGGAGAAAAACGTGGTGGTAGGATGACAGATGGAGAAAGTAGAGAATGGGGATGGCATGGCATGAGGACGCCCGAAGGGGGGAAGAACGCCAAAGCCTCCGGAAGATGCCGAAGATGCCCCAACAAAAACGTGTTGGGCGAAGGCGGCGGGCAGCGCGAAGCCCCACCGCTACCGCGGGGGCGGACGGACGAGCCGCGGCCAACGTGCCCCTCCAGAGCCCCGGCGAGGGGGGCGACCGAGGGGTTCCAGCGAAGCGCCCGCCGCCGCCGCCGCCGCCTGGGACCGTGCCCACGGCGCTCCGCTGCTCACCTTTGTTGGAGGCGCTGCCGGGCAGCGCGGCGCAGAGGCAGAGCAGAGGGAGGAGGACGGCGGCGCGGGGCCGAGGGTCGCCCATCGCGGCGGCGGCGGGTCCCGGCGCGACCCACGCCCTCGCTCCCGCGGCGGCGGCGCGCAGGGACGGCGGCACCCCCCGCACCCCCGGCACCTCCCGCACCGCGCTCCGCGCCCCGCCCGGCCCCGCCCCGCACTGCAGCATGACGTCACGGGCCGGCGGGGGGCGGCAGCCAATGCGCGGGGCTGCCGCGCCAGGTGCTGCGGGATGGGGATGCGGGGCGGGGCGCGGGAGCCGCTCCGCGCCTTCCCACTGCGGTCCGGGCAGGGCACGGAGAGGGGCGAGGGCTGGGCGCGCCTGCCTGGGAAGATGGGGGGGCTTCAAAACCGAGGCGGCTGCCAAGGGACGTGCAGGGGTGTGAGGATCGGGGGATGCGGGAGCGAGGGGCTGCAGACCGCATCCGGACCTCGCCGGCCATCCGGAGCTCGGGCTCGGGCTCGGGCTCGGGCTCGAGCTCGAGCTCGGCAGGGCGGACCCGCCAGCCTGCCGCCGCCTCTCCTCGACGGGGTGTCCGGGCGAGGGGGAGCGCAGGCCGGGGCACTGCTCCGAGGAAGCTCGCAGCCACCGGTGTAACGGTGTGAGAAAGGGCCGGCGGGAAGGGTTCCTTGCCGCTGGTTGGAAGCCCAGAGTTTAATACGAGCAGCCCCCGAGGACGGCGGAGGGTGAGGAGGTGACCTGCCATCCTCATACGTCCTGCCCAGCCGAGGCGGAGATGCTGGAGCAGGGGCCGTCCCGGCCCTTTCCGCGCCCCCCGGCGTGGGGACTCTTACTGCGGCGGGGAGCCCGCAGAGCTCCCCTCCCCGCGGGAGAGGGTCCGGGCCGCTTTGCGAGCCAGCTCTGTGCCGGCTGCCTGTCTGCCCTGCTCCTTGCGCTCTTTCCTCCGCACCGTCCGCCCCGTCCCTCTGCCCCAGGATGCCTCCCAACCTCACCGGCTATTACCGCTTCGTCTCCCAGGAGAACATGGACAATTACCTGCGGGCTTTAGGTAATGCCACCCTCCCCACCACGCTCCCTCCTCCACGTCACTCTCCCCTCTATCTCCAAAAAGTCAGGAGTTGGGAAGTGGAGGAAGGTATTTAGGAACCCTCTGGTCCTTCTGTCTGTGACCATCGCTTTTGAGCTGTGGTAGTAGGGGGAAGGAGGTACCATGGCTGGTGCTCCCTGGCTAAGAGTGGAGGAGCTCTGCTGGAGGAAGGGCCCAGGTCGTCCACACATCTTCTCTCCCTCTCGTCCTTCAGATATCAACGTGGTCCTGCGAAAACTGGTTTGCCTACTGAAGCCTGACAAAGAAATCATTCACACGGGGGATCACATGGTTATCCGCACCATCACCTCCCTGAGGGACTATGTGATGGATTTTGACCTGGGAGTCCAGTTTGAGGAAGACTTGGGACCTGTGGATGGACGCAAGTGCCAGGTGAGAAATCCAAGAAGTGCAGTTTCACAGGGGACTGGAGTGTGCAAGGAAGTTCAGGGACTTGCTCAGCTTTTGATTCAAAAACCAGATGAGAGCCCAGCCCAGAGCTGGCATGCCCCTGCAGGTCCAGGAGTAAGTGATTCTATGAGTAAATTACTGACAGCAAAGGGGGATGATCACTACAGAGCCAGAAAGCCAGTACTGTGGGACCCAGAGGATATTATCCTTTGGAGCAAAGCCCTGAAAGACAGAATGTCAGCCCACTTGGTGGAACTCTGTTGTTGCACTTGGAAGCCAGAGGGTCATTCACCTCCCACAGAGAGCATCAGTCCCAAGAAGCCACTAAAGGGACACCAGATCAGGGACTGCATTTGAAATTGTGTCTGAAAGGAACAGCCAGTGACATCTCTGGAAACCTGTATTGCCAAGATCCGCTTGTCTCTGGACTGTATCTTCTCCTTTCCTCCTTTTTTTCAGACAACTGTCTCCTGGGAGGGGGATCAGCTGGTGTGTGAGCAGCTAGGAGAGAAGAGGAACCGAGGCTGGAGGCACTGGCTGGAGGGGGACAAGCTGCATCTGGTGAGGAGGGGTCCAGCGCAACTTGATAAATCCTACTTGTGGTGGGTGGGGGGAACACAGTGCGGGTGCTGTGGGCTCTGAGCCAACCCTGCAGCTTCCTTCCAGCTCCTCTCAGACTTCATCCACGGCTCCCCGGGAACAGCCACCACTTCACACAAACATCCGCCTCCAGGATTTAAAAATTAAACTCAAAAGTTAAACAGGTCAACAAGGACAATGTCCCTTCCCTACCCTGGAGCTGGACCCACTGAGGTTTTGGGAGGGTCGGCTGTGCAGCCTGTGGCCTGCAAGGCTCCAGCCAGCAGCAGGAGGGCTGGCAGGACTGCAGCGGAGGCAGCTGGGGAGGGAGAGGAGAGAATCTAGGCTAAACTCCTCTTTTACCCCGCTTTCCCCAGCGCATGACTGCTGAAGATGAGATCTGCGTCCAGGTTTTCCAGAAGGTGAAGTGATCGCTCCCCGGAGGGATGCCCGGACGGGACCCTCGCTCCCCAGTATGAAAAAGAAAACGAAACAAGACCCGAGCGAGCCGAGTTCCCCCAGAGCAGTGTGTTTTCTTGTGCCTCGCCCCCCGCCGAGCAGCGGCCGGGCCGGGCCGGGGGTCACGGCGGGGCCGGGCCAGCGGGGAGCGGGAGGCGGGGAGCGGGATGGGCCGGGGCGGGGAGGGCGATGGGCCGCCGGCTGCACGGAGGCTCCTTTCAGAATAAGAGCAGTTGGGGAGGAGCGGCGCAGGGGCTGCCCCACGGCCGGCCCGGCCCCCGCAGCTCCAGCGCTCTTCCTGCCGCCCCCGCCGCAGCCCAACCCCGCGTTGCCCTCCAGCTTCCCCGGGGATGCGGGGGTCGGTGCCCGAGTGGGCAAGGGTGGCTCAGGCTGCCCCTTCTTCGGCAGCCACCAACACCTGCTGTCTTCCAGGGGTGCCACATTTTTCTTGGAGTCCCGGATTCATAGAATCATTGAATGGTTTGGGTTGGAAGGGACCTTAAAGATCATTTAGTTCCAACACCCCCACCATGGGCAGGGACAAATTCAGGAAGAATTTCAAGGAAGGGGTTGTCAAGCATTGGAAGAGACTGTCCAGTTGGAAGAGACTGTCCAGGGAGGTGGTGGAGTCACCATCCTTGGAGGTGTTCAAGAATAGACTGAACATGGCACTTAGAGCCATGATCTAGTTGACAAGGTGGTGATCGGCCAAAGGTTGCACTCAATGATTTTGGAGGTCTTTTCCAACCTAAATGATTCTGTGACACCTTCCACTTAGACAAGGTTGCTTAAAGCCCCCTCCAACCTGACCTTGAACACTTCCAGGTATGGGGCAGCCACAACTTCTTGAGATCCTCAAGCTGGATGGGTAGAAAACAGCACTTCTCCTTCAGAGTCAGGTATTCTTATTTAATGCTGTGCAATCTGAGGGCTGGAGCAACTACACTCATGTTCACTGCACTCCTGAGAAGGTCCCATGGGTGAGGAAGGCTCAGGCTCTTTTCCTGGGTCAGAAACCATGGCTACCCCCTCTAGTCCCAACACTCCCTCTGGCATTCTCGGTAGCATCTCCCTGTGACCATCACAGCTCCCCTGGTTCACAGCTGTCTGGAATGGGAGACCAAGGGGCAAAACCAAAGGAGGTGAAGTACCCTGAAAAAGCCAGAACAGGGACAAAGAGAGAGGTGTCCTTTAATGATGACACCTCATGGGGTGGGCACGAGCCCACATGCAGTTGTTTCTGAACAATCTTTGTGATTACCCCCAACAAAAGATTAAAGGGTGGGGACGAAAAAATGTGTTGCTACTGACACCACAGAGAACCAAGATATTGGCAAATTTTGAAAATACAGATCCTTTTCAAGCTGAGAAAATGCATTTTTTTTTCCTCCAGCAGCTCATTTAAAAATAGTCTTTTCTGAAGAGCTTCTTTTCAGGGAACTGCAAAGTTGAGTGCTATGAGAAAAGCATTACTTCAGAACATGTGATAAGCAAAGGGTTGGGGAGCTGCAGCTGTGCCTACAGTGTCAACCTCTGGCTCTTCACAGTTGTCTCTGAGGACATACGAGATGGGAGCACCCTGTCAATATCCACAGGGCAAGACTGCCTCAATCAAACCAGTGAGCAACCGTAGCCATGCCATCCAGCACGTCATTTATCTGCTCTGTGCAGACCTCCTCAATCCATCATTCTATCACAGGGAAACTGCGTGATCTTTGTTGTATCATGAAGTTGCAAAAGGCAGAGCTTTGACTAACAGCAGCTGAAGCTGGTTCAGCTGTTGCCCTCTTCACACTCTCCCATACCACAAGAGCCCCTCTGGGCTGCTTCTGATCCCCAATACCAAGCTCACTTCACCATGTCCAGGCTGGTATCTTCCAGAGTGTGTGATCAACAAGTAATCAACTCATTTCAGGTCCTGGACCGCAAGCTGGAGCCTACATTCTGATTGGATGGCAGACAGCTATTGCCTTCAGGTGATTAGCCAGACTCTTCCACTGGCCTGCCAACCATTCATGTAATTGTCATGTAAGCCTGTGAGGTGACATGCTGAGTAGATTGCTCCTGACTGGTTGCCAGCTATCATATATCCACTACAGCCTCTCTTCTTCAGGAAGCATCTGGTTGTGCCAGAGCCATTGATAAGAATCATGCACACTTGATGTGGTCCACAGTAATAATAATCACAAGGGATAGTACTCCAACCTATTCTAGAGCTTCAGATAGTAACTACCAGAACTAGTAATTCATTGTTTTTTCTTTTGTAATCATGTTGTAGGTGTGATGCCCAAGTCAGATGATGACTTTACACAACAGTACTATATTCCTGATACACGAGCCTGTGGGAAGTGAGGATGCCAGTGCAAGGCAGGGGATGAAGTGCGATATCAGGATGACACTGTCTTTGTTCATGCTCCATGCTGAGTGGTAATGCAGCAGAACTGTGTACCTCCTGGGGTATTACACTTGGCTTTGTTCCTTGATTTAGAAGACACAGAAGCAGATTACCAAGATGCTGTGGCTGCTCACCCTCTCATATCAGGGGAAAGACCCACTCTTAAGAGTCTTTTAAGAACCTTATTTTGGTCTAGGTCATCCTCTCTATATCAGCCAGAGCTGCAGGAGTGGCATGATTTGTCTGAGCCATTTGACAGCACAGACCTGGCTGTGTGAAGCCTGAGCCCAATGGCTAGTGGCAGAGTGTCCCCAAATGGCTCAAACCAAGCGTTTGGGTACTTTGGGTAGTCAGCCAAGGGGGTTGAAGGTAGAGTACCCTGGGAAAGCAACTCAGTGTTTACAGGGAGCCTGGGTCTATGGCCCTGGTGCACTGTAGGGTAGGTGGTGTAGCTGTAGGAGGCCAAACAGAGGTAGTTCTCTGTCCTCCTTGCTTCAGGTCTGAGGGTAAAGTATCCAGCTCTTCTTCTTCTCAGTGGATGTGAAAGGGTCTGGTCTGCATTTCAGAGGATAATCTCGTTGCTTCTGAGGCTGTAGAGCAGGTTTCTTTCAAATGACTTCCTCCAACACACTGTATTCAAAGCAGGAGTCATGCTCCTTGAGAGGATGCTGGCATCTTTGACCATGCTGAAGATCTACATTTTCTTTACTTCACTCTGATATTGTCTGGATTTATTGTCCAGACCGCTTGTCACCAGCTGAGTCAAGCAGGCTGCAAACAGGTACTAGTTTTGTCATTCTGTGTTCCTACATGTATTCCATGGTCCTACGTGAATTCTGCCCTTAAGCACAGAAAAGCACAAACATCCTCCTCCCGAGAAAAATTTGGTACCCGAGTATTACCTGGCTCCTATCTCACATAAAGATTGCACAGGGCATCTGAAGGGGAACGCCACCAGTGGGAGCACTGGAGCAAGACTGAGGATGCAGCTGTATTGTCTAAATCAGGTGGGTCTATGGGACATGTGTTAGAGGTGGGCTGCTCCGGCTAGGCGTATTCCCAGCTAATCACCCTTGCTTCACCAGCTGAAGTACTCTCCTATTATCACAGATAATGTTGTTGGGGTGGGAGAAGGAAATGAAGACATGGGAGATGTGCCTTGAAAGTGTCACAGGACACTCATAAGATTGTTTGTCAAGGACACAATGAAATTATCAGCTTCCTTACAAATGATCTTCAGGCACCTCTATCTGTCTGTGCTTTGCCAGGGAACACTCCTCTCACTGGTGACCAGCTCATACCAGATCTCTCAAACAATAGCTTCCAGTATTTCCTAGCTACTTTCCAGATGTGGTTTCTGAGTAAAAGCTTCCCTTCTCATGAGACAGTAAGCCAGCAGAACCCACTCTGGCATGACACAGCAAAGCAGTGATCCTGCCCAACTGTGTTCATCATGCATATTTGGACATCAGAAGTAGTGGGATAATGCCCCTCACTGAATCTTATATCTGATACATGGGGGCATATGGTGTTATTACAGAGGCACTAATTGCATGTTTATTTGATCTTTTTCAGATAATAATTCAAAGATGTTTGATGAGCAGGATCTCTAGTACACTTCCATAAATATTCCAAAGATGCTTTCTTCATTCTTTTTAGCACTATTTTCGTCTTCATTCCTCATGTTTTTGTAGCTGTGAATTACTTCCTGTGATTTCAATGCAAGACACTTGCTAACTTCTCTGAAGCCACCCATAATTCTAAGGAAAAACACTAAAATGGTGTTTTATCTCTTACACCAAAAGTCTGAAAGCCAAGAAATTTTGAACTTCATAAAGCTGGGGACACACAATATATGTCTTGGGCACTACATTGTTAAAAGCCTGAAATGGGTTTGTAAGTAGCTATATTTTCTCATTTCCCCGTTAAATAGAGGACCTTATCTATCTATCTTGTTTTTTGTAAAAATGCTTGCAGAAGAAACAGCAAGAAGGGTCCTTGAAAAGGGATTTTTTTTTTCTTAGAATGCTTTTAATTCCATAGACTTTCTCATTTTTCTTAATATTTATTTAACTCAAGTGCCTCAGGTTTTTGCTTTCCTCGAAGAAGATCCCAGTTCCCTTCCCACCCCAAAACAATCTCCGAAGTGCTCTTCAGCAGGCCGGAATTGAGAAAACTTGGGGGGGTTGACGGTTTGATTTTTTTTTTTAAGTTTAAATCAATTTGGGAAGACTATAAGATTTCTGGTCTTCTATACCAGAAAACAGCCCAGAAGGATTGGGGAGTGGACTTCCTAGGAGGATATTTTCGCGGGGAACAAACTCAGAGCAGCCACTGGATTGCAGATCAAACCCTCGGAGGGGTCTCTAGCAATCGTTTTGCTGCCTCCTCGCCCAGAAAAGGTAACTCGGCTCTGCGTGGCCAGGCCGAGACAGTCCCCCCGCGGCACTCCCTTGTTCGCGGACCGGGACCCGGCAGCAGAGGGCAGCAGACGTCGGGCGCCGCGGACCTGGTCCGGTGCCAGGCCGTTCGCAGCCCGGCTTTCTATTCCCCGCTCCTGCCTCGCTCCCTCCTCCTCCTCCCCCCGCCCTGCCCGCCCCCCGGCTCCCCGCTGGCTGCCGCTCCGCAGCTCAGGCCGGGCAGGAGCGCACGGAGATGTGAGTCGGG